GGAGGAGGCCGCAGCCAGTGGCACTGATGGGCGCAGCCTTCTGTGAGGGCAGAGAGCCCATTGCAGTAGGCTTGCTCTCCCAGACCTGACGGGGGCAGTTTCGCAGTGGTGAGCCACCGCCGTGCCCCAGCCCCGTCCCACTGCAGGAATAATGGGCAGAGTGATTCCCACCCTCCTAACCCTCACCCTGGTCCTAGGAGCAGAGGGAGGGCCCAGCGACAGCCTGATTCCCTGCCCCACCTCTGAGAGCCCAGAGCAGAAGCACGGCCCTGGGTGCCTCAGACTATCCTGGATGATGGCGTATTCTGGTGTCCTGGGAGCGGCCCCTGCCCACCCCCACCCCCACATGCAGTCTTTGCTGAGGGTGGGCGGGCAGGTGGGCACCTGGCCAGCTCCTGCATCTCCACCTACCCCCCCAGACCGGCTTCGCCAGGGCCAGGGACACTCTTCCCTGACTCAATACATCTTCATACACCCCTAATTACCCCTCCCATGCATAACGCGCCTGCTCGGACTAGAGCCAGCCTGTGATAGACCAGGACCACCCCTCACCACCTGAGGCAGGCAAGGTGGCTGGCCCAGTGAGGGTCGCACCTGCCCTGCCCAGAGGGGTGGAGGCCCGGAAGCTCCAAAGGCAGAGAGCTATGCTCACAAGGCCTGCGGGGCAGCGAGGGGGCACCGTACCCATCCTGGGGAGGCACAGAGCAGGTCAGCTCCCTTCCAGGCACCAGACTGGCTCTGCATGGAAGGCAGCAGCTGCAGGCGGCGCCCAGCCCCCCCTCTGGCCCACAGAGATAGCCCCTGCTCCCTCCTCCACATCCTGGGTGCTCCCCGACGGGAAGGGACTCTTCCTCCCACACCCTTGTCAGGCCCCTTTGCTCCCCAAGGTCACCAGCTGCCACATCACCCCCACTTCCCTTCCATGAACTTCTTCCCCCCTCTGCCCTTGAAGCCCACCTTCAGGAAGTCATACCCCTGAGGGGACCCTGCCTTCTCCTGCCACTTCCCCTGGGGGAGGACATCATGCGTGAGGGGCACAGCCTCCTGTACCCAGATCCAGCCAAGCATCCTCTGCAGACCCTGGCCTGAGTGGCCCCTAGCCCCCAGAGCCAAAGGCCTGTCTCCCTGAGCAGGGCAGGCACAAGCCCGGTCCCCTGTGGAGGGGAGCAGGACTGGAAGCATGTGCGTCAGCTGCCTGGGAGCCAGAGGAGGGAGGGCCTCCTCGCCCAGCCAGGCTGGCTTGGTGGCTGGGTGGAAGCCCTGTCGGGACATGTCACACTCACGGCGGCAGGCCCCGGCCCAGCTCTCTGGGAGTCTGAGCCTGGGCAGCACCAGCACTCGGCCACTATGGGCAGCAGCAGGCACCCAGGGGAGACTGACCAGCACCAGGCCCCAGGAGTCAGTGGTCCAGGCCAACTCTACCTGGCCTGCTCAGGGCTGGCTGGCTTCACCCCTCTCCAGTCACTGCACCTGCACGGTGCAGCTGCGATGTCCTTCCCCCATCGGATCCCAACCCAGGTGAGGAAGCCCAGGGAACCGTTCTTTCCACCTTCCTCGGGGAGGAGCCAAGGCCACTTGACGCCTTCAGACCCCAGAGGAGCGGGTCCTCATCACTCCCCCGGGAAGGTCTGGGCCTGGCACACTCCCGCCCAGAGGGGCAAGGAGCTCTGTCCTGGGGAGGCCATTGCTGGCAGTGCAGAGGTCAGAGGTGAGATGCCCGTTTGGGCC